CATTGAAAATCTGTGGAATGACTTGAAAGACTGCAGTCCACAAACCCTCACCATCAAACTGAACTGAACTTGAGCAGTTCTGCAAAGAAGAGTGGGCAAATATCGCAAAGTTAGTAGAGACAAATCCCAACAGACTAAAGGCTGTAATTAAAGCAAAAGGTGGTTCAACAAAATACTGACTCAAGGGGGTGATCCTTTTCCCAACTCTGCTTTTTATTTTTTTTCTGACATGTTGGTGTTATATCTTTCACTTGGATGTTATAAGTTGCACTGAGTAAATACAGCTGGATAAAACAAAAAACTGTGTCCGTCTTCGTTTCAGGCTGCAAAGCAACCAAATGTGACTATTTTAAAAGGAGGCGATTCTATACCCACTGTTCATTTCATTTACTGGTTTGATAGTTTTTAACCTCAGTCAAATGGTTTTTGTTCTTTTTATTTCATTATTTGTTGTGTAAATAAATAGACAAAATAATCAGATGAGTCTTCTTCCTCCAGTTGTCAACTTCTCTCCACAGATGGCCATTAGCCTCTTGAGCAGCTGCTCACTCTGCTCTACAGAGACCAACTCCCCACATCTCCCGTACACCTCCACACCTGAGCTCTCCTTCACACACCTGACAGTATGACAATAGTTCCTTTATAATAAACCACTCATTTTAGCCATTCACAGGCTGAAATCAGGCTCTGGGGTTCCCAGAGAGGCTTTCGCCATACCCATAAGTTAGAATGAGAGGAAAACACAAAGCCTTTTCTAACACGTTGTTTTCTTTCTGAAAGTTCTAAGAGTGGTTGATCATCCAATTTAAACTTGGTCTTTTGAGTCATATTTTGATTCTGTAAAACAGCATGACAGTGTATGAGAACTGTGTGTTGATCAGCCCAGTGTCACAGCAGTTTTATGACCTCGGCTAGAAAGTAGTAGGTATAAAAGTCTTCAATTCAATTCAGTTCAATTCACATTTATTTGTATAGCGCTTTTCACGAAGCACATCGTTGCAAAGCAGCTTCACAGAAAATGAAAGTTTCTACATTACAATTAAGAGTAGTTTATCAGTGGTGACTATGTCAAGGTGATATTTATATGGCAGAAATGTCTAACTTTCTTTCACCATGTAACATTGCTTGAATGGACCTTTATATCATAAGGTTGTATGGAAAATAGTGGAAGTTTTGAAAACTTCAGATTACACAGACAACCACCAGTTGACCTCGTTGATATGCATAATAAATAAGAGCAACTTTTATTTTTTCATTCTTGTTTTTGATGCACTGTAAAATAATTTTTCATAGCTGTAAATAAAACAAAGATCACTGGAGTACGTTTTGCAAAAAAGTTTCAGTCTTACTGCTTTAATTCAGTGTGTTACTTGCAGTTTCTTTGTAATTATTTGTGAAATTTGCTAGCAGTTTCTGAGTGAAAATTATTTCGAAGTATTTTTTTTCCCCTTTTGACAAAGTACTGCTTTAGATTGTAATGGCTTCAAATTTAATGTCTCTAATTTAGAACAGTGATTTTTAAGTGTGTTGACGTTAATTTCCAGCATTTTTCTATTTAGGCTTGTCAACCACCCAGGCTTAAAATTTTTTTATATTCCTTGTACTTTTTTCTATGAAAAAGTCATTACAGCATTATCAGTATTTGAAAATTTGAATTTAGAAACAGTCAATTTGAGTTGTTTATGCTTACAGAACATCTACACAAGAACTGTGTTGTTTTGAAAACAACGTGCTCTAGGATGCACACATGGATGCTTCAGAGCCTTAATTACATGTATGCATGTTTTGTGCCTGTCATTTTAGAGATAAAGCAAGATGAGAAACAAGAAGTAATTTCTTTCTCAGAAGGCAGGAGTGCACACTTTATATGTTCTCCCACACCATTGGCTTTTGCACACTGTGAGGGTTGTCTTTGAGACATCATCAGCATGGGACTAGCACCATCCAGAATGCCAATCTTCCCCTCCGCTCGGTGATCATTGGGTTTTCGGGTGGCTAACACAATGAGAGCGTGCTGGTCAGTGTGGAGCTGATGCAAAGTCTTAGAACTCTGCTCTATAAGGAACAGGAACTTAAATTATCAGTTTGCCAGTTCCCCAGGAATATGCTGTGTCTGAACGAAAGACCTCCACTAGGCCTGATGGTGACCACTCAATGCCAGTCCAATTTCTAATTCTGTAAAGCCTTAAGTCCCCACAGAGCCTCACTTTCAAAAAATCAAACCTGCTGTGCGGCTGATACAGATTTCCAGGCCCTTGGCATGATGCATTACTGTGTCTATTGTGATCAGCATGTTTTTCCCGTGTCAATTAGCTTCTTTTAGGACTGTCTGCATTCTAGCTTTACTGTATCTGGGAAAATGTATACAATTCAGCTAAATTCATATAATTAATTTGCATATAGGTAGTGACTACATACATTTCAAAGATGTTTGAAGTGAAATTTCAAAGCTAAAAATATTCTGAATGAATGAGCGAACAAAAATGTTACAATTATCCCTTCCTTATTCTTTTTTCTGGATTGGCTCTGTTTGACCATACATCCCTATTTTTAATAGGTCTTGTTATCTGTTTCTTCTTAGTTTTTCTTATCTTAATTCATATTTGTCTGTTCTACAGCTGAACCCTTTATCTTGTCACGATTTGTGTCGCCCTGCAGAACTGAAGCATGAGATTCTGGTGTGGAGGCAGACAGCCCATCGCATTAACCCTGCCAGCCGAGAGGAGACTGCCGTCAAGTGTCTTCTCATGCAGAAGGTGCTCAATCTGGAAAGCCTCCTGCGCAAGAAGCTCAAGACCTTCCAGAGGTGCCACACTCATGCTCAATCCATTCTTTTCTTTGTCTGTCTGGGTAAAATACAAGCAGTCTGTCTACACCGTGCATGGTGTTTGAAATCATGGATGTATGTTGAATATAAGTGTTTTGTTCTTGTTTTATTGGCTGGTTTTTGGACTTTTTTCACTTGTGTTGTCTAAATGTCATGAGGATAATGGTGGAAACAACTGAAAAACAACAAATTAGGCTATACCTAATGCATTATCAAGCCTTCTTTTACTATTTTGATATTGCATGTAATATGAGTGTCTTTCTTGGTATGAGGTCACTTGAAAACACCCTATTAGGGCCAAAATATATCCATTCCCACTGCATGACACCTGTTGTGTCTGATGGTAGCACATAGCCAGAAGCCCAGGATGATAAATGAGCAATAATTAACCTGTAGAAAAGTAGGTAATTGTTCTCAATTGTGTCGGCTCTCTAAAGCTCTTGTAGAGAGCTGAAATTTTAATCATGCAGAATAATTTTGTTCTCAACAGTAGCCTGTTTTTTTTTTTTGGTATTATTATAAATGCTTCTTTTAACTAAAGAAATTCGATTAGTTATGCTTGTGGTTTTGTGGATCTTGTGGTTTGCTTTGATGACAGATAGAATAATCACAGAAGCCATTTACAGCCTCACATGCTGAGTAGAAAAGGTTCGGGGTGACCACATGAAATCACCACTCCTACTCATTTGCAGGTGTCCATGCTGGCTGAAAGGATGTATTAACACACTTCATCCGGTTTTATTCCTTTATTTTCACAGGCAAATATCTCAGGAAGACAAAAACTGGGAACACAATATTCAAGAGCTGCAGAAAAAGGTAAAACAAAGCTGCATAAGGATGACTCTGGTTGATTAAGTGACGTACTTTTCTGCTAATCCTGCCTTATCTTTCCGATGGTATCTTATTATATGATAAGAAACTTCAACAATTTCTCAAATATTTTGGCTTCAGGTCCCTGATAGTATTATTATTATTATTATTTTTTTTTAATAATAAACAATTTAATGATGTATTTTTTAA